CACCAGCTCTGGGATTGGTAGGGATGCTCTCGCGAGATCTCATGGGACAATCTGACTTCTCATGAGATCTTGCGAAAGGATCTCCATCATGCCCACATATTGCTGAAATGGCACAAGTTAAATGTGTGTAAGATTCGAGTGTACTGCATATCCAACTCATATAACGTTTTTAAAAATAAGCTGCATAGAAATATATAAATCAAGTGATTCCATGGAAGCTCACTGTGTTTTGGTCAAAAGTACCATTTCTCTTCAGGGTCAATTTCAGTCAATACCAGATATTTCTTTTTTTTTTTTCATTTTCCAGAAGAACTGGCTGTGTTTGTTTGTTTGTTAAATTTATATACTGCCCTTCATCCAAGGATCACAGGGTGGATTACAGTACAAAAACACAGAAATACAAAACATCATAACAAACAAAACAATACAATACCCCATCCACCCAGTTTAAAAGGTCATAGATTGTTTAATAGCCAAAGACCTGAGTGAAGAGGAATGTTTTTGCCTGGCGCCTAAAGATATGTAATGAGGGCGCCAGGTGAGCCTCCCTGTGGAGAGCATTTCATAAACAGAGAGCCACCGCAGAAAATGCTTGTTCTTGTGTTGCCTCCCTCTGGACCCCTCATGGAGGGGGCACAGAAAGAAGGACCTCAGATGGTGATTGCAGGGTCCAGGTCAGTTCATATGGGGAGAGGTGGTCTTTGTTGTATTGTGGTCCTGAGCTGTTGGTTGGTTGACTAGTGCCTGTGATATCATGAAGCCACCTGCACCCCTCAACTGAAAAAAGCTGATTGTGTCTGGGTGTGCAGGTGTGTGTTTAAGTGCTGGAATGGAAAGACATGCAAGTACTCCTTTTAAGCAAAAGAGGCAGGGTAGGGTAGGGTGGAATGGAAAGTCTGTGTGGTAGATCAGCATTCAAAATGGAGACAAGTACAGTGGTACCTTGAGTTACAAATGCCTCAGGTTACAAACGCTTCAGGTTACAAACTCCTCTAACCTGGAAGAGTTACCTCTAGTTGAGAACTTTGCCCCAGGATGAGAACGGAAATCGTGTGCCGGTGGCTCGGTGGCAGCAAGAGGCACCATTAGCGAAAGCACACCTTTAGTTAAGAATAGTTTCAGGTTAAGAATGGACCTCTGGAACGAATTACCAGTATGTTCATAACTAGAGGTACCACTGTACTGTTATTGTTTGCATTGTGGAAGGTGGAGACCAGGGCTCGCAGTACAAGAGAGAGAGAGAAAGTGCTGATCCCTGCAGATGTGATCTGTGTACAGATTAGACAGGGCTATTGCATGAAGCCACTGCAGTAAGGGTCTGGGCAGTGAGACTGACATTGTGGTACAAGCAACAGATGAAATTACACTTTCCTAAATACATGCTGCATTTGGCCAGGCAGACCTTTTCCCCAAGGCCTCTCAAGGCCTCCTTTCAGTTTGGTAAAGTGGCGCTATAAGAGGGAAGCTGTGGGGCCTGGGGCATACTCTCCTTTGAGCCAAAGTAGACTCCAGAGCTTACTGGAAGATGGTTGGTGGAGATGTTTCAGACCAGTACATTGATAGAGATGACTGTAGGAACCTGTCCATTGTGAGGCTGGAATTAATCTCATTATAGACAGCTCTGCAAGATGCACTACTTTCGTCTGAGTTGATTTTAGCATTCCTAGCCCAATCTGTGGCCACTATGCAGAGGGAATCAAGATTTTACTGCAAAACCATCTGGATCTCAACTGCATCAGATGACAATGCTTCACCTTGTTAATGGAAAAAGGTGTTAAAGAAACAGTTCAACAGTAAGTTAAGAATTAGCTTAACAGGCTTTGTTAAGGACTGGAAGGCACAGATGAAACCTCACTGAGCTCAAAAGGACTGCAACCATTGTCTCTCTGGTTTTTCTCATGTTGCAGCTGAGCAGCAGCCCTGACCTAGCAAGTGCCATCAAAGTGCAGGCAGGTTTTTTGTGATCAGGGTTGAAGCTGCACTGTTCTCAAAAAACAAAAGAGGTTCTTGTTTGAAAGGAAGCGGCTCCTGCAGCTGTAGATCAGGCAGATACAGAAGACGGAAACTATTGAGGTTTACTTTGACACAAAAAGAGAAAAAGAAGCGGGGCTGCAGGTGAAGTGGAAGGCGAGCACAGCTTCTTCTTGCCCTATAACAGAGCCAGATTAAAGATGATAGGAGCCCCAAGGCTATTTGGGTTTGCACACAGTGGGGAGCTGACTCAGATTCAAAGACCCCTAGTTTGGCTTGTGTGGCTTCCTCTATGTATTTTTAACATCTGCTTAAATTGCCACCTGGTAGACTTCCACACTCCAAAGTATGTTACAGTTAACCCAAGACCTGTAAAGCATGCTGGTATGTTTTGCCTAGTTATTTCTTTCAACTGTCAGCAAGGCAGAACTGTTGCTTAGCACTTAGCACTGCTGCATGGAACATTCTGGCACGCCAGTAGAGCATTGTGGGTAAAAAGTCCCCTCTTGTCATGTCTGCTAGATGGGCTATGCCAGAAGGATTTGGAGGACCCTTGGCATTTTAGTGGCAGCTGGGCAGCAGTTGCCCACCATTTTAATTTACTCAATAATACATTTTTTAGATCTATAAGCCGGGGCATTGCATTTTGGATATATTAAAAGGACAGGGGGCTACTACAAATGGGTGCCAAGCTTCACTCTCATTCAAAAGTGGCACCGCCCATCTCGAAAAGAGCCATTTAGATCAGTGAGAGGCAGTGCAGCTGGGGCTGGCTGCTGAGGGGCTCTTCTGAGCCCCCGGAGCCATTAGCTAGTGCCTGACTTGGTACTGGGCCTGTAGGCTGGTCATGCAATGAGGTGTTACCATCAGCATGCTGACACCATGCTTTCCTTTGTCTCTTTCCCCATAGGCAGAAGTGAAATTCCAAGGGAATTGGGGTATTTTTTGGGGTGGTGGTGGGAGCATCCACCCCTCTTCTTCATCAGAGAGCAAGGCTGCTTGCTTTTCTCTCAAAATCTCCCCCTACTCACACAAAAACCTGACACAAAATAAATGCACAAACTCCAGCAGAAAATATTAGGAGGGTTTATTAAGAATACGTCTAAAGAGAATAAAGGGAAAAGGCAAAGAAGGTGCTTAAAGAAAATAGCTTAAACTTTAATGAAAGAAGCAAGCTTATTTTCTGGAGCCATACACTCACACAATACAAGGGTCCCCTCAATAGTAAACCCATGCAGCAACATTGATGGTGAGGAATGAGGGACCACACCATAGTTATGTCCATCTATGTTGATGGGGTTCAGGGCTTCATGACTTTGAGTGATAGGGGCTGCAGGGAGGGACAACCTATGAGATGGAGTTGCAGGTAAGCAAGAAAGTAGCGTTATGACCTTTTTGTAGGGCTAGAAGATGACACGATCAAGGTGTCAATGGCAAAGAGATGCAGCTACCAAAATATCAACTATTGCTGGAGCGATTTAGCTTCTCTGCTCGACAGCAGGGTTTTTCAGCTTCAGAGGAGGAGGGAAAGATGTGGTCTGTCTGCCTCTATGAAATGGAGGTTGAAGGAACGGTATGTTTTAAAGAGACAGGTGTGGGTAGGGTAGGTTTCCATGACAACCCCCCAGTTCAAATGTCATTTCAGCCACAAACTCACTTGGCAAAACTGGTCTTGTCTCAGACTCATCTCCATTTTGTAGCCGAGGAACCTATGCCCCAGTTGTGGCACTCCCTCCAAAAGCAGGTTGGGCTGGTGCCTTCTCTGTTGGCCTTGAGATGGGCAGGCAAACCATTTCATTTATATTCTACCCTCCTCAAGGTTGCCCCCCCCAATTTTATCCTTACAACGTTTTGAAGCTGAAAGGTGGTGACAGGCCTGATGTCACCTAGTGCGCTTCACGGTTGAGTGAGGATTTGAACCTAGATTTCCCCAGCCCTAGTCCAACACTCGAACCACACCACCACAATGGCTTCCACTAGGACCATTTGTCCCACCACCACCTGCCTCTTCCCTACACCAGTTCTAATGCAAGTATCCCTTTGTAGTCTCATCCCCATTGACTATGGTGATGGTGTATCTGTGCATGTCTAGATATCTATCTATATCTATAAAATATTCCAGTATGTTTGGGGCAATCTGCTCATCCACCTGCTACGCTCTTCTTTCCCTTGCCACTTCTATTGAGAACTTGGAATGCAATGTGCTGCAGGCCCATTTTACATCGGCTCCCAACACAATTCAAAGTGTTGGTGCAGACCATTAAAGCCCTAAACGGCCTCAGCCCAGTATACCTGAAGGAGCATCTCCACCCCCATTGTTCTGCCCGGATGCTGAGGTCCAGTGCCAAGGGCCTTCTAGCGGTTCCCTCACTGCGAGAAGTGAGGTTACAGGGAACCAGGTAGAGGGCCTCCATGGTAGTGGCACCCGCCCTGTGGAACACCGTCCTGTCAAGGAAATAAACAACTTTCTCACTTTTAGAAGACATCTGAAGGCAGCCCTGTTTAGGGAAGTTTTTAAATGTTTGATGTATTATTATGTTTCTAATATTCAGTTGGAACAGCCCAGAGTGGCTGGGGAAATCCAGCCAGATGGGTGGGGTATAAATAAATAAATAATAATTATTGTTGTTACTATTATTATTATTAAACTGATTAATGAACACAGGAGCATAGGGAGGCTGCCTCATGCTGAACAGTCTAGGCAGCAGCTCTCCATGGGTTTCTGGCAGGGGGCATATTCAGCCCCACCTGGATATTGGACCTCCATCTAAATACAAAGTAGATGCTCTACCACTGAACCACTACAGCCCACATCCAACATGTGAAGTGCATATAATCCCAGAATTAATTAGATATGGGTGGGATTTAATGGATGGAAGGTATCTATACATGAACATTTGAGAGAGGTTGTGTACCTTTAACAGGAGCTGCTTCTGTGTCTTCCCCCCAAAGAGAGATGCAGCAATGAGGAAAGGTGCACAATAGGAGCTTCCCATCTTGTTGGATTAATAATTCCCAACACAGTCATGCGGAGATAATAAAATCTAGTTCTGTTTATTGTTACACAGGAAATTTGCTTAAGGAAAGGAAGAATTCAGCAGTTTTTCAAGTGACCAATGTAGGTCCTCAAGATTGAAGAGCAGATGAGAAGGAAGATGGGAAAACGTCAGAGAAGAAACATTGAGGATCCACACTGAGAATGGCCTCCAGCTGCAAGCGGATAAGTTTCTTGACTGGAGAAAGAGCTAATGCTTCAATACCAGCAGGAAGACACAGAGCCTCTCCACAGCTCCATCAGAGACCTATAAAAGAAAGGGATTCAAAGGTAGTAACCCAGCAAGGCGATGATCATCAGTGCAGGATGCACCATCAACTCTGTGTGTACAGTGATATATGAAGCAAAGCAGAGCGATGTGCGAAGGTTCTCAAATTTCTGAGTTAGATGGCACCATTAACAAGGCATCTTGAGCCAAAACAGATCCTGAAGCATTCTGTGGCTTGGGAAATGCTCAGAGTTCAGGAGGGGAGGGAAAGCAGAGCTGGCAGAGGGATCTTTTGTTTTGATGGACAGGTTTTGGGGAGGGATTAAAAACAGTGTTTGTTTTGTTTCCATGGAGCTACTCATTCTTCAATGCAAGTTAATAGAGAAATCTCCATTATACCCTAAAAAATTGGGGGGGGGGAGTGCACCTCACATCAATGACCCTTGGGGTAATGGGATCCTTATTGGGGTGACATTTTCCTTGCTCCAATATTTCCTGAAAATTCATGTTCTTTTCCCCATCATTCCTTTTGTACCTATTCCCAAATACTAAAGCCTGTCCCAGCTGCAGAACCACTGCAGCTATTGCTCTGAAATTTGGCAGGCTATATACCCCCTTAGAAGCTGTGGCCACACTTGCAAATTCCATCTAATTCTGGTAGAATCTGAAAATTTAATACAGTGGTACCTCGGGTTACAAACGCTTCAGGTTACAGACTCCGCTAACCCAGAAATAGTACCTCGGGTTAAGAACTTTGCTTCAGGATGAGAACAGAAATTGTGCTTCAGCAGAGCGGCGGCAGCAGGAGGCCCCATTAGCTAAAGTGGTGCTTCAGGTTAAGAACAGTTTCAGGTTAAGAACGGACCTCCGGAACGAATTAAGTACTTAACCCAAGGTACCACTGTATACTTTTCTTTGTCCCCCCCCTTTAAAAATCAAAATGTAAAGATGCCCTGCATGAAAACATCTGGATTTTTCCTGCCTCCAATTTGGTAGGCTTAATCAACTCTGGAGGGGCCCCTATGCCTGGAAAGTTTATCCATTTCTACAAAAAGGAAAACAAGTTATAGCTGTTTTTAACTTCCCCATTGTATTGGATGGGGAGTGGGAAACAAATTTAACAAATCTATTTCGGTCTCAAATAATTAATAAATTAGAATAACACAGAGTGTCTCCAAAACAGAACAGGCAGCTTCCCAAACCTACAGATACAAGCTGAATCTTGTGACCGATGCACACTCCTACTGTTTACATATATCCTGCCAAATTGTTCCAACTGAGTGGGTAGGGGCTTTCATTATATACTTTGGATGTCACCAGGGCCTCTGGATACATGAGCAATGGTTCCCTGTGGCCAAGGAAGTTGTACCCTTCGGTAAGTAAAATGGGTCTCGTACCTGTTTTCTTCTTACAGGCTGTGTAGATTCCCAGAGCAGTACCATAGGCAAAGCTCTTAACCACCAGGAGCAGGAAAATGAGCTGCCCTGTATGAAGGCTGCTCTGAAACTCCAAGACAGTTGAGGCTGATGTGAGAAAAAATATAGAGAGTCAGAGGCCCACTCACCTTCACCAAGACGGACATTTCAGACTGGCATTTTTAAAGCACACAAATAATAATAACTCTGGGCAGCTCCCAACAGAATACTGAAAACACAATAAAACATCAAACATTAAAAGCTTCCCTAAACAGGGCTGCCTTCAGATGTCGTCTAAAAGTCTGATAGTTGTTTATTTCCTTGACATCTGATGGGAGGGCGTTCCACAGGGCGGACGCCACAACCAAGAAGGCCCTCTGCCTGGTTCCCTGTAACTTCACTTCTCGCAATGAGGGGACCGCCAGAAGGCCCTTGGCACTGGATCTCAGTGTCTGGGCTGAACAATGGGGGTGGAGATGCTCCTTCAGGTATACTGGGCCAAGGCTGTTTAGAGCTTTAAAGGTCAGCACCAACACTTTGAATTGTGCTTGGAAACCTACTGGGAGCCAATGTAGGTCTTTCAAGACCATGTTATATGGTCTTGGTGGCCACTCCCAGTCACCAGTCTGGCTGCCGCATTCTGGATTAGTGGTAGTTTCCGGTTCACCTTCAAAGGTAGCTCCACATAGAGCGCACTGCAGTAGTCCAAGTGGGAGATAACTAGAGCCTGCACCACTCTGGCTGCAGTTTCCACCCTAGCATTCAAAGAATTCAAAAAGTCTAGAACCTTATGGATACTTCATTTGTTTTTGTAAACTGTCCTGAAGGCTCTATTGAATTACATGGTATATATTTTAGATAAATAAATAGGATATACTAGGGGTGCCTGGCCCTGCCATTAGACAGAGTAGAACAGCTGCCTCAGACAGCTAATTTTGGATGTCATGAAAGGGCAGCAAACTGTTCATTTTTTAATTTATTATTGTTATGTTTGTACTTCAGGGAGAGTTATTTGTAGGATTTTCTGCCTCAGCTTCCAGAACTAACCTTGGGCACTATGCCTCTTGTGGGAAGGTATTCTTTCTTCAACACCTAGCATACAGTAAAGTTAACAACCATTTAGGAGCACTTCAAATTATATTTGGGAGAGGCAGAAATGCTGAACCCTTAGTGAAATCAGCCTCCAGTTGTGATAAAACTTTATCTCCCAATCCCTCCCCCACCTTTGTTTGCTTGTTTATCCATCAGGGTGTCCATACACAAATCCAAATTAAGGCGACATCATAAAATAAAAAAAATTAATCAGAAAACTAAAACAGTAAAGAAAAACATCCCTGTCTTGACCATCTGCTCCTGAAGAAATGTTTGCTGCTTTCCCTTTAATCAGCCCTGTATTCTCAACGTTGACCACCAAGAGGAAGAGGGCACCTTCTGGCTACTTCCCCCATTATGTAGGATCTCCAACCTGGTACATGTAATTGCCTCCACCCCAGTCCTTGCTTACCTGGCTGCTGGCTCGGCTCCCTCTCCATCGACTCTTCAGCCTCGGCTATGTTCCCTTGTCTCACGTGGCATGAGTACACATGCCTCTCCTGCCACTCTGCAGCTGTCATGCTCAGGCGACTGGAAACCCCAAAGTTGCATGTGCCATTCAGGGTGCGGACGGGGTCGGTGGCGAAAGAGAGACGAGTCACCTCTTGCGCATCACGCTTCCAACTCACATCAATGGGCCATTCATAGGGAAAGCCCTGGGCCACACACACGAGTGTGACATGGTCCTTGTGGCACACGGGACCCAGAAGATGGACAGTCGGCTGTGAGCGTTGACAATTTTCATCTGCAAAGGGAGAAGTTTTCTTTGTTGCATGAGGGCATGTAATAAACAGAAGGCCCAAGCCGATCAGCCCCGTGATGGGGAGTGTGGGTGGCTGGGGAATGAGTGTGCCTGTTCACAGTGAGGCCACCCTTGGTGCCTTAAAAGTCTCTATAATAAACCCACAGATAAGCACTTACTCCACATGACTTGATGCTGATTAATTATACCATTTTAATCAACTTGGGAAACAAAACAAAAAAAGGTGGTTTAAAAAGGAGATTTAAAAGATGCAATGGCAATCTTAATTCAAGTGCATTAGGCTTCAATGCTATGCATGGAGGTCTATGAGGTACACAAGAAACAGGATTTTTGAAGCTAAGGTTAGTTAACCCAGATATGTGATTTTCTAAAGGGGGCACCTCTCTGCTTCAGTTGTGATATTATCTGTTTCTTTCTGCTGTGCCTGCCTTTGAACACACATATACACTGTCTTACTCTATTTTAAAGACAACCAGACTTCTTAGCCTGGGTATGCACCATGCATTGGAAGCACCCGCCCCCCCCCAAAGATCCTGGAAACGGTAGTTTACCCCTCAAGGAAGTATAATTCACAGTACCCTTACATTACAGGATTGTTTGGGGCATTTTTTGGGGTCCTTTAAGTGTATGGTATGTACATAGCCTAAGTCAGGGGGTTGCTTCCCAAGCATGTGCATGTAGATACACAATTATTGTTACTGCATAATCACTTTCTACGAGAAAATGGTATTTATTGCCAGCTGTGCAGCAGCAACAAAACCTACTTTATTCCTGGAATGTTGGTGGTGCTATACAGGCAAGTTTAAAATGTGAAACTGCACTTGGTCTGAGTAGTTCTATATTAACCAGAGTATTTTCTTTTTCTTTGGGTTTCATTCTAACCTATCAGGAATGTTGTAAATCATGGACTGCTGAAGAGAAGTGTACATTGTGCGCATTACAACTGCAGCACATGGCTGTGGGGAGCCCATAAGGCCAAATTAAGTCTAAAATAATAAAGCATTACTGGTTTGAAACAATTTGCTCAGCTGACTCTCAATGTCCCCGCTCTCAGGATCCGGAGGAAACCTCACCATACTAACAGAAACCAGCAGGTATACCTCCCACCTGGCTTCTCTTCCTAGTTCCAGCTAATGGATCTCTTTCTGAAGATTCTAGTCCTCGTGGATGCCGAGAAAGAGCTTCTTTGTTCTGGAGCTTAGGCTTTCATTGGCTCCCATGATGAAGGTAGTAAATTTTGGCTTTCTTAGTGGACTGCAATCTTAGCTCCCACCCCCCGCTCGTCCCGCGAGTGGTGGTAGTGCTGCTCAGGGAACTTTCTTGTATCCGGGAATTTTCTCTCTCTACTGGATCCACTTTTTATGCCCCGAGCATTTGGACTCTGACCTGGCTAAACACTCCCTGATGGGCTGTGGTATAAAATGACACTGTTTGGGGATGGTTATGATCTCCACCCCCAGCCCCGAGCCCCAAATATTTATTTAGAGCCGTTGCAAGGCAGAAAATGCAAACATCCATTCCTCCACTCCAGCCATTTGGAGCGAACTGGAAACTCTTATCGATATTTTAACCCCCACCCCACGTGCCTTTTTTTTTTTTTAAGGAGAACTGGGACTTGAGACAGTGGTTGCATCTGGGCTCCCTCGCTGGCGATCTGTGTTGTTTTTTTTAGCAGGATTGAGAAAGGAGGCAGGAGCAGAGTGACTAGGGCGGGGGGAGGGTTAGATTTTGTGCCTTGGGTGGGAGAAAAGCCGATCTGGCTCGAAGGGACTGTCATGACTCCCCCCCCCCCAATCTAAATAAACTTCCCACCCCGATTGCTGCCCATCTGGGTCCTCTGCCGCCGCCCCACCCGTAGAAGAGACCGAATCAGCCTTGTTCTAATGGGAAATAATGAAAACGGGGTGGCCGGTGGAGTGGCCGTGGAGGTGAGAGCCCCCTCCCCGCTTTCCCCCCACCCCGAAGGTGGACGCGAGCGCTTTCCGACTGACCTTCGACTATGAGCTGCGTCCCAGTATCCGCGAAGTAAGCTTGCTCACACAGCACTGCCGCTTCACGGGCCCCCCTTGCAAAATCTTCCCAACTGCTCCCGGCCCTCCGGGACGGCTCCTTCCTCGCTCTCCGGCCCACCTTGCTCTCCGACGGCGAAGCGTACTTTGGGGCGGCGCTTCAAGTCAAAAGCGGCCAGGGAGCAGCCGGACGAGGGCTGCCCAAGCCCCTCGGGGCCGTCCAGTGCCGTGGGGGGCTGGGAACGCATCTCGCTTGGGAGGGAGACCCTCTAGACCTCTCCGGAGCACCTCGATTTGTCACGATGGCCCCACAGCCGGTTTTTTCTCTGGGGGCAGCCGCTTGGGTTTGCTGCCCATTCCCTGACCCCTCCATCGCCTCCTCCAGGCTCCCGTCGAGTATTGGGCGCGGCGTATATCATCGTGGCGCTGTTGACACAGCGGGACGCGATCGCACAAAAACTCTCTCCCAGCTCTCCCGGCAGCGCCTACCAATCTCAGGGGCAGCCTGCTCCCTCCCGTCCGGTCCCTCGATAACCAGAGGCACTTGAGGCAGCTCACTCTAGTGTCCTGCTAGACCAGACCAGGCGATGGTCCCCACTTGCGCCCCCGCCACCTCCTTCTCGTTTCTCCAATCGTCTGCCTTCCAGTCAGTTGGGAACGCTCCGGATTGAACAGACACCCCTCGCCTAGGCGTTCCTGATCCCAGATTGATACCGATCTGGAGGCAGCTCCCTTCCATTTCTGCTAGGAGGTCAGTCAAGTCCCGCTCCGTCCAGCCGAGTAGCAAGCTGCCCTTCTTACCGCAGCCCTGAAGGCGCCGTGCAGCAACTGCTCCTTCGCTCGTGGCTGCAGAACACCGCTCTCTTGCAGGGAGGGGAGAGGGAGTCTCTTCTCAACTTACTTCTCCAGCAAGAATCTGCTCCCTGCTCAAACCTTTCTGCCTTCCATTCGAAAGATCGCTCTATTGGGTGTCCACATCTGCATTTAAGGTTGCGTCTTAGGGCCTCTTTATAGCTGGGAGTGAGCCCTACTGAACATAACTTACTTCTGAGTAAATGTGTGCAGAAATGCATGTATTCGGGAAGCACTCTTGAAGCCCCAAGTAGAGTTGCCAACTTTGCTTTTACTGATCTTACTCTTGTATCTTTAGCCGCCGCAGCTGACTTGACACTCAAAAGCATTAAGAGGACGGCGCTTTCCTCAGTCCCATTCTCTGTTTGCATCCTACTGGTTCCGATTTCAATAGGACTTGCTGGCAGCTTGATTCCATGTGGAGTTAAGTACATCTGAACTCCCTGGTTACACCCTTTTGGAACCAAACAAAGGATATGCGTAGTGAAACAGCTGGCAAAGAAAGAGTTAAGTGTTTATAACCGTCTTTTAATAAGCAATACAACACAAACTCAGATTATTGCAGGGAGGAAATAGTTAATTATCTTCTTCCTTGTGTCCACCCCCCTTTTTTCTTGTTTTTGTTTTGCTAGACCCTTCAAGGAACCCAAGTTTTCATTTTTCTTAGGGCAGAAGGTTTTTGTAAAGGCACTCCCTGAGATTGCATCACAGTGACCCCCTGTATAGCACAGTGGTAGAATGCTTTGCAGAAACACTAGAATCCGGTCATGTTCCCTCTGAAAGTAGTTCCCTTAGATTCAGTGGACCTCACTCCTATAAGTAAGCACAGAGGTACCCCTTCCTTTTTGCAGTTCTCCATAGCAGGACTCCTGTACCTCAAACAGGTTCCCAACAGACAGGGATTTATCAGCCACCTCTTTAAAAGGCAGTGTGTCTCAAGAGAGAGAACTGGCAAAACTTAGTGCAGTCTTTCTTAACCTGGTGCCTTCCAGATATTTTGGATTACAATTCCCATTAGCCCTTGTCAGCCTTAATAAATTTCCAAACGTAGATATTTGGGCTGGGCAGCATGAATGAGACTGAAGAGCTGCAAAGAGAGTCCTGCCAAATTATGGGATCCTCTGAGCTGTAATTTCTGTGAGCCACCCTGAGATCTACAAATGAAGGATGGTATTCAAATTTTATAATAAATAATTTCCTTGCCCCCCCCTTTAACATTTTGCTGTTAAAGTTCCGTTTGTGAACTGCTGAGAGTTTTCTTCTGAAATGTGAAGTGGTGGCAAACACACCAGAGATAAAACATCTGGATGCAATTCCAATACAGATGTAAACTGGGAAATATCTCTACTTAAAAGGCTTGCTGAAAAAGGAAGTTCATTAGAAGGTGCCAAAAAGACAACAGAAGTGGCACCTGCCTGATATCAAACAGGAGAGAGCTTCCACCACAAGGAAAGTCTGATCCCTCTGTGGTGTGGAATGGACCTCCTGCCAACATGGGATCTGCAAGAGGCCTTTACCTTCTGAGCGCAGGGATCAGTTGGATAGATAAGGGCTGAGATGATCAGCTGCAGCAAGAAAATTAGCAGCATTATAACAGAACAATGTGTGTGAGGCAGGAGAGGGTTTGTTAGGGTGGCAGAACCAACAGGATTGTTCTTTGTAACACTCAGCCATATGAAGACACATGGGTCTCCACATGAGATATTTGATCCACCACTGTTCTCTCTCTCTCTCTCTCTCTCTCTCTCTCTCTCTCTCTCTCTCTGTGTGTGTGTGTGTGTGTGTGTGTGTGAGAGAGAGAGAAGAGAGAGAGAGAGAGATTATTTGTACAGAGTACAGAGAGGACGTGTTTCTCAGCAGCACATGGAGAGACACATTATTGTTTGGTTTTATGACAGCTCCTGGTGCTGCTGCAATCACTGTGTCCCTAGAAGCACAGAGATATTGCCCTGAGTCAGTAAGCTGGAGGCTTTCTAGGTACAAATATACTTTTGTGCCAACCCGTTTGCCACTCAGACGACTGTTCAGATCATTTTTTGGAATCTCCTCCAATTTGTCTGCAGTAGAGTAAACAGTCCCAAGGTGCTCTAGATTAATCTCTCCAGGGAGTTGGCGGTACCAGTAGTAATGATAGGTCTTTTGATGGACATCGCAGCTCAGCTCCAGGGTCTCGCCTTGCCGTTTGTTGGCCAGTGTTGGGTGCTGGGTCACTTCCACTCCAGAGGTGCTGGTTACTAGACCTAGGAGGAGAGAAATGATGTCTTGTCAGTGAGAGATGATCATCAGGTACTGAGGCAACCTGAAGCAAGGGGAGACAATAAGGGCGCTAACTGTCTTGGAAGTGGCACCTGAAAATTAGCTGAGGGTCCAAATGTGCCCTTGCCCTCACATCCCCAGGTACTTACCACCCTGCAGGGTCCAGAGGGAGAAGAGCAGGTGTTGGAAGAGCCCACAGCGGGACTGAGGCAGCCCTGCCGCCATCTCAGCCTTGAAGCAACTGCCAGTGGGAGGAAAACGGATGCTGCTGGTTTCCTCTCTCTCTCTCTCTCTCTCTCTCTCTCTCTCTCTCTCTCTCTCGTGAAGAGGATTTAAAAGGAGACCTTTTCTCTTTATTTAGCTTCTATCTTCCATTCAAAGGCAGCTCGGCAAAATTAATGAGCAAGATGTCATCTATTAAACCACTGATTCACACCAATTCATTAATGGTAAAACTGTTTTTATATATTTAAATAGCTATGATCTATGGCTGCCCCCCAAGGTGTGACCAGCTCTTTCAACTTCTGCATGTGACTGGCAAGAAGCGAAGGAAGCTTTGCCCTTCATTGAAACTCCCATACAGCTTCTTTGCTGCTCATCCAGCTGTTAAAGGAGCGTTATGGTTCCTCTGGGCTTCAGAGAGGGAGAAGGCATGGACGGTGGCCCATTGGAGTGAATGGGGCATAGTGCCCTACCAACCTCTGTCTGCCCTCAGCCTGCCCTCACTTGCCTGCTTCTTTACTTACAGCCAGTCCAGGTAGCATTACTGGCTGTACACACCCACCCACCCACACCCACACCCTCAGTGTTGCATTTGAGAGCAGAGAGATAGAATCATAGAATTGTAGGGTCGGAAGGGAACCCGAGAGCCATCTAGTCCAACTCCCTGCAATGCAGGAATCAACAAGGATCTGTGTGAGGAGCTGAATTGTTGGGGAGGCAGAAGTATCCGGATTGCACCTTGTGATTCACACTTGTGCGGGGTGGATCTCTGAATCAGGGGTTTTGGACTGCTTGTGTTAGCTGTGCTTGTGTGTGTGTGAGAGAAGCAAAGAGACTGACAGACCCACAGACAGTGACTATTTGAACAGAGCTCCTTGTGGGCCCTGAATATACACAATGCCTGTTTGTAGTGGGAAATGTGCCACTAATTTATAGAGAGGACATGTTTCTTAGCAGCACACGAAGAAGTGTACTATTGTTTGGTAGTCAGTTTTGTGACAGTTACTGAGGCTGCTACAGTCACTGTGTCCTTTGAAGCACAGAGATACAGCCCTGTGTCGCTAAGCTGGAGGTCTTTTAGGTACAAAGTTGTTTCATTGCCTTTCCGTTTGCCACTCAGCCGACTATCGAGGCTACTTTTTGTGTCATCCTCTAAATCGCTACTATAGGTGCTGAATGTCCCAAAGTATTGTAGCTTTGGCTCTCCAGGTTGCTGGCGGTACCAATAGAAAAACCAGTTTACTTGGTTGACGCCGCAGCTCAGCTCCAGGGTCTCACCCTGCCGTTTGCTGACCACTGGTGGCTGCTGGGTCACTTTCACTCCAGGGTTGCTGGTAACTAGGCCTAAGAAGAGAGAAATTATATTCCATCAATGAATAATAGTTGATCACCAGGGACTGTGGACACCCTGAACAAAAGGGAGGCAGTCAGTGAACTAGCCCTGTCCTGCAAGTGGTTTTTAAATAATAGGTCAATGTGTTCAAATGTGCCCTTGGCCTCACATCCCCAGTTACTTACCACCCTGCAGGGCCCAGAGGGAGAAGAGCAGGTGTTGGAAGAGCCTACAGCGGGACTGAGGCAGCCCTGCCGCCATTTCAGCCTTGAAGCAACTGCCAGTGGGAGGAAAACGGATGCTGCTGGTTCTCTCTTTCTCTCTCTCTTTCTCTCTCTCTCCCTCTCCCTCCCTCTCCTAAAGGAGGACACCAATGGCAGATTTGATTTGTGTGTGCTTATGTTTAGTTTCTATTTTCCATTCAAAGGCAACTTGGCACAGATCATGAGTAAAAGTTATCTGTTCAATCAGCAATTTACACCATTGCATCAATTTTGAAACTATTTTGATATATTTAAGAAACTGCCCAATGTCCAGATTATAAATATAGTTCAGTGTTAATGAGCTCCAGAAAACTCTTCATTGGGAAACACCTGAAGTATGAAACTGGATCTGAATTCAGTTATGTTTTTTGTGAATTTTAAAATCAACTTAGCCTTGACGGGGAATGTGAGCCAAGTGAAAGTGTGGTTAACAACAACAACAACAACAACAACAATTTATTTATACCCCACCCATCTGGCTGGGTTTCCCCAGCCACTCTTGTCAGCTTCCAACAAAATATTAAAAATACAATAAAACATCAGGCATTAAAAACTCCCTAAACAGGGCTGCCTTCAGATATCTTCTAAAAGTCAGATAGTTGTTTATTTCCATGACATCTGATGGAAGGGCATTCCACAGGGTGGGCACCACTACCAAGAAGGCCCTCTGCCTGGTTCCCTGCAACCTCACTTCTCATATTATTTTATTATTTATACCCTGCACATCTGACTGGGTTGCCCCAGCCACTCTGGACAGCTTCAAACATATATAACTGCATAATGAAACATTTAACTTTTTTATTTTAAAAACTCCCCTATACAGGGCTGCCTTCAGATGCCTTCTAAAAGTTGTATAGTTAACTTATCTTTTTGGCTCAGTGGGTCACATAACTCCATACCTTTGGATAAAAATAGGGACATCCTAAGGAAAAGCAGGACGTTCCAGGATCAAACCAGAAACTGGGAAGGAGCATTATGACTCCTGTGGGCTTCAGACAGTGGGGAGAAGCAGTGGAAGGTGGTCCATTAGGGTAAATGGGGCACAGTGACTCACCAACTTCAGTCTGCCCTTAGCCAGCCCTCACTTGCCTTCCTTCCTACTTACAACCAATCTGAGGAGTGGGTGGGTGGGTGTCTGGCTATCAGCTTCCCCCTCCTTAGTCTTACCCTGTGTACACCCTCCTGTTTCCTCTGCATCCAGTGCACTCCCAACACTGGTCTTATAAGCAGTGTACACACAAGGATAGCCATTATCCATATTTTCCCTGTATCCGTCCTGTTGTTTCTGATGAAATACTGGGTTTGGTGCATTCCCCACTCCCCTGAAACCAGCTTTGATCTGCGCTGAGAAAAAGAACGACCTGGCTGCATATTAAGTTGGTAATGTGCACACATCCTCAGTGTTTCCTTTGTAGAAAGCAGCAGGGAAGAGGACGGGGGACAAAACTAGACAAATTTCCACCTGTCATTTGCCTCTGTCTCTGTTGCCCTCTCTGCCTTATGCCTTGACAGACCCAGCGGGCACCAACCACCACTGGAGACAAGCAGGGACTAGAGAAGTCTGTTTGTCGCAAGAAAATGAAATATCAGTAAGGATCTGTGTGAAGTGTGGGGTTATTGGGGTGGCAGATGCAGCACAATTGTGCCTCGTGACTGTCAGGCACATGAAGAAATTTGGGTTGTGGGTCTCCCCATTAAGGCCTTTGAACTGCTCCTGTTGGCTCTCTAGGTGTGAGAAACAGACAAGAGACAATTTGGACAGAGCTGGACAGTGGGCCCCCAGGACACAACATGCCTTAATGGCATCCCCTCATACACAGAGAGGATGTGTTTCTCAGCAGCACGTTGAGAGACGCACTGTTGTTTGGTAGTCAGTTTTGTGACAGCTCCTGGGGCTGCCACAGTCACTGTGTCCTTTGAAGCACAGAGATACAGCCCTGTGTCATTAAGCTGGAGGCCTTTCAGAATCAAATTTGCTGTTCTGCCATCTCGTTTGCCACTCAGACGACTATCTATTTCGCCACCTGGTTTCTCCTCCAATGTGTCCCCCTCACTAATCGTAAATGGTTTGATAACCCCAAGTTGCTTTAGGTTTGTGTGTCCAGGGCGTTGCTGGTACCAGTAGAACTGATAGTTGTCTACATCAACGTTGCAGCTCAGCTCCACAGTTTCACCCTCTGGTTTGTTGGCCAGTGGTGGGTGCTGGGTCACTTTTACTCCAGAGACGCTGGTTCGGAGGCCTAGGAGGAGAGAGACGATGTCCTGTCAATTAGTAAGAGATCACCAGGGACTGTGGACACCTTGAATCAAAGGGGAGACAGTCCTGGAAGTGGCATATGAAGATTAGCTGAGGGTCCAAATGTGCCCTTGCCCTCACATCCCCAGGTACTTACCACCCTGCAGGGCCCAGAGGGAGAAGAGCAGGTGTTGGAAGAGCCCACAGCGGGACTGAGGCAGCCCTGCCGCCATCTCAGCCTTGAAGCAACTGCCAGTGGGAGGAAAACGGATGCCAGTGGTTTCCTTCTCTCTCTCTCTCTCTCTCTCTCTCTCTCTCTCTCCCTCTCTCTCTCTCTCTCTCTCTCTCTCTCTCTCTCTCTCTGTGTATGTGTGTGTGTATAAAATAAGGGGGGGGCAATGACAAGTCATTTTTAGGTTTAGTTTCTTGTTTTCATTTAAGTGCTCTCTTGATACAAATACAGTGGTACCTCTGGTTACGTACTTAATTCGTTCCGGAGGTCTGTTCTTAACTTGAAACTGTTCTTAACCTGAAGCACCACTTTAGCTAATGGGGCCTCCAGCTGCAGCCGCACTGCAAAGTTCTTAACCTGAGATAATATTTCTGGGTTAGCGGAGTCTGTAACCTGAAGTGTATGTAACCTGAAGCGTATGTAACCCAAGGTACCACTGTAAAGAATTTACAACTCACTACAGTTCAATTAGCATTGTTCTGTAATAGTAACATTATTCTCTAACACATGTGGTAAAGGTGTTCCTCCCTATGTGAGGGTCTGCGTTCTCACAGGAATGCAAGTTAAAGATGTAGAGGATCTTTTATATGTTGGGACACTGGGCCTCCCAGAGTACTAGCAGCTTATGTAGAGAAAAAAAGGAAGCCAGAGACAAGAATCCTCAACGCAACAGGCAGAGGAAGGAATCTAAAACATTTTACTTAGAGCGTTGTATGCAAGCCAGCCTCTTATTTGCCTCTCTGCCTAACCTCCCTCACAGGGTTGTTGTGAGGATTAAATGAGAATCGGGAGAACCAAGGACTCCACCATGAGCTCCTTGGAGAAAATGGTGGGACCTAAATGCAATTAATAAATAAAATAAAGCGATAAACATTATCAATCATATGCAAAAGTGTTTTGAACAGACACCCGATGCCTTTCTAGTTGTGTGTGTGGCAAAGGAAAGTTTGGAAGGAGACAAATAAAACAGCATTAGAATTCAGTTCTGGTGGTAAGTTTGCAAAGGAGGGTGTCCCTCTGATAATCTGGATGGCGAAGGAAGCAACATTTTTGGGTGCACAATGATAGAGGTTTGAGAGCAGAGACCACAAGGCGAGTTGCGAATTTTGTGCCGTGTTCAGAGCTGCTTTCTGCATAGGTTTGATGCCTGGTTCTTGCAGCAGGACTATGTTATATTTGTGTATGTAACACACAGCACGGGCCCAAAGGCAATAGAAAATACTGGGTTTTGCTGGAGCAAAAGGAAATCATGTGTTTGGTGAGGACATGCAATATTTCCCATCCCTTTCATGGCAACTGGTGGATCATTTCAAAACTGTTCATGCAGCGAAAGCTGGTCTATTAGGGCAGATGGGGCTCTGCCCCACCAACCTCAGTCTGCCCTCAGAGTGCCTCCACCTGTCTGCCTTCTTACTTATAACCAGTCCAGAGGGTGGCGTCGTCTGTCAACTTATTTCTGCTCAGTCTCTCTGTTGCCTTTGCAAAACTCAGCAGGGAGGAGGATGGGGAAATAACTAAAATTAATTTGCTCTGCCAGTCATTGGCTCCTGTCACCGGCTCTAGCTCCACCTACTGTTGGCCTCCATCCCTTTACCTCCACCAGTCCTAATGGACATCAGCCACCACTGCATATGCCAGTGACAGTATATGGGGCAGTTGATGGTTTGCTCAGCCCCAGCATGAGAGGGCAATTGATTTAACCACCATGCCTTCTAAAAAGAAAAAAGAAAAAAGGGGGGGGGGAGATCAGGCTGATGAACACAGTGAACAGCTCTGTGAACAGGAAAGCTGGGGGCTATGCCAGCAGACCCAATGGACTTCTAGAAGGTAGAGGAAAGCCTCTGCCTGGTAATGGGGATGGGCAGAAGGGAAAGGAGGAGCCTGATCTAGACTGGAACCTTAGTAAAGATGGAAGGGAAACCCCTCATGTGCTTTAATCCCTTTAAATCAGTAGGACTAGTTAACCATGACTAGAGTGGTTGGGGAAATCCAGAGTGGTTGGGGAAATCCAGCCAGATGGGCGGGGTATAAATAAATTATTATTATTATTATTATTATTATTATTATTATTATTATTATACTAATGCAGGCACTGCTGATTTCAGTGGGACTAACACACAGCACAGGCAGATTTAGGGGAGCACAACTGAGCTGAGAGGTTGCCACAGGGAGACCCATGACAGTGATGAATAACGGAAGGTGAGAGGTGGGGTACCTAATTCTGGCATTGCACAGGGCATTGTTGAAATTTTACAGCCCAAAGTCTGCCACTGTGCACCGGTTATTTAGTCCGGATCCAATGCAACACATCTGATTGCTAAATTACTCTTCAAATGAAAAAGTAGTTCTGACTGTCAGATCCTCGGTGCATTCACTAGAAAGTTGTTTCTGTTCATCTGAGGGAACTTACAAATGTGCTCAGTTAGTCTCCTTCAAGTAGACCTTTCTAATATGCAGAGTGAGTCTGACTCAATTAACTGGAATTCAGTGCCAGCTAAGTAGAATTGAGCCGTATCGTCCCATCGAAACA